ACGGATAGGCATACCAGACGAAATCCTGTCGGACATGGGAACACAATTCACCTCTGATCTTATGAAGGAGGTTGGTCGTCTCCTCATGATGAAACCACTCACCACTACACCATACCATCCGATGTGTAATGGACTAGTCGAGCGATTCAACGGAACGTTGAAGCGGATATTGCGTCCATGTGTATTGAACGCCCAAGATATTAGGTATCTACCAGCTCCACTGTTTGCCTACCTGGAGGTCCCACAGGAAAGCACAGGGTCTTCCACCTTTGAACTCATCTACGGGCGCATACTACGTACTTGATCTTCATGAACGACTGGAAGATACTTGTAAGATGGCTCAGGAAGTGTTAGGTAAGGCTTCTATACGGTACCATAAATATTATGATGCAAGAAGTCATGACTGGTGGATACCTATCGCTCAGAAATATAGGGAAATAAAAGCGTTTTTACATCGGACGGATTGTATCAATTTTCCGTCTTACCATTAGGCATGGTAAACGCCCCCGCCGTGTTTACTTGAATGATGCGCAAGTTGTTAGACGGAATGGATAATGTTATTAACTATATAGATAATATTCTTATTTCTTCAGAAACTTGGGAAGACCACTTAAAGCTACTCAGACATGTTATGACTATTCTTAGAAATGCTGGTTTAACTGCCCTGTCAACTAAATGCTTCGTGGCTTTTGAAACATTAGATTTTTTTAGGACATGTCATAGGAGACGGACTAATACGACCACAGAAAGATAAAGTAAAAGCTATAATGGGAGTAAGTAGAAGGAAAAGAAGTGAGAACCTTCCTAGGATTTGTGGGATATTTATAAGCGGTTCATTGCCAATTCCTCTTCGATCGCATGCCCTTTAACGGATTTAACCAAAAGCAAGGCCGCAAAACATATCACTTGGGGGGAGCCGCATGAGCGTGCGTTCTGTAAACTCAAGAATCGCATAGCTTCGTCGCCCATACTGCACTTACCCGATCCGACTTAGTAACTTAGGATTTGCTAAGATAAGGTTGAGTTTAGTTAAGCATTAAATCGTGAGGGTTGGTATATGTTATTCGGGGGGTTGGTTCTGATTCATAGTAAATTGTTTTGCATTGATACGTACATTCCATAATATATATTAAATTTATATTTTTATATTCCCCCAATTATAATATAATTAAAGTCAACCAAACAATGTTCTTACTCAGTAAGAAAAGTAAACATAATTCTATAATTAAGACCAGATAATTCAGTAGATAATTTACTGTCAGGTGACAAGATAAGTAAGGATGTACGGTACAATTTATTAGATTTACTTACCTCTTCGGAGAGGTATCTCGTAAACAAATTAAGTAAGAATGATTTTCCTGTGCGATGTTGGCCACAAACTGACAAAACCATCAATGGAATTTCCCTTAATTCGGTTTGATTCAAGATCTTGGAAAGTTCGTTATCAACCAGTACAAGTTTTCCATTTTTAACATCCACTACTTGTACTGGTTTTCCACTTGAACAATCTGAAGATAAAAACACATACAAATATGAATACATTTAAGAAATTAAATTATCCTTACCACATTTGTCGAAAGAATGTTTTAACTGATTTATAAATGTTGCAGATAAAAGAAATCACCATAATTGTACATAAATTTAATATTTTTTTTATTAAAACATTAACCCATGCCTAATAAAATACAACAAAATAACCTTGATATTTAGTAACAATATTTAAAAAAAAAAAATACAATTTCAAATTTTCACAAAAAAAAAAAGAAAGAAAATTCCAGTAAATAAGGCAAGTCATTATTATGAAACACACCATTTACAACCAAAATTCTTCTTTGAATCATGGATTCATTAGCATTAATGCCATAGTTATAAAATATGAGTATAAAATATACAGAAATCAATGCGCAAAAAATTATCAAAAAGAGCAAGAGAGTAAAAAGACATTACTTTAATTTTTAAGAAAGCGTTAGAGATGATGTCTGTTATATTTTTCAGTTAGAAAAAGGGTGTGAAGTGATCTATATCGCCACTTGTTGAGGGCTTTTAAAATATTTGCTTTGTAGATAGAAAAAATGTTTATAGTCAGGCATTGCGTTTCCAGACTGTGACTGCAAACCAATTCTGTTGAAGTGTGTGTGTGAATATAAAAATATAAATTTAATATATATTATGGAATGTACGTATCAATGCAAAACAATTTACTATGAATCAGAACCAACCCCCCGAATAACATATACCAACCCTCACGATTTAATGCTTAACTAAACTCAACCTTATCTTAGCAAATCCTAAGTTACTAAGGCAACAGGTGAAGCTGTACATCTTTGAGGAGGTCGTTGACATTAGAGGAAGGGAATTATATAAAAAAAGACGAGCGGAGCTGTCCCTTTTTGTGTTATCCAGCTTGGAAAGCGTGTATGGCCGTTAACTCGCAAGTATATTCTGTTTATTATGCCATGACCTTTATTTTATAAAGTCCATTTAATGTATTTAGTAGATGAGTTCTACTGTGTGAAAAGTACTTGTATTGTGTGAGTTAAATGCTTAATAAATTATTATTACTATTATTATTATTTAAATAGCATTGTATATTGTACTTTGTTTAGTTGTCAGTGGTCTCGCCAGCTATACTTAAGCATGGCGGGATTGCCATAATATAATAATGTACTGTAATAATATTATGTACTGTAAATGTTTAATAATACTGTAACAAAATTGGTCCCCTTCCATCATAGTGGAAGGATCCTTGGGACGCGCGCGTGGCTGCCCCTATAAATGTAGGTGCAGCGGCGCACGGCGTCAGTTCGGCCACGCAGTGCACCAGTGCGGTAGTACCTGAGTAGCCGCTGTACCCGGTTATTATACACGTGGTGTTCCACTTTGTCATTGGATTAAATAAAGTAGCCAACTATACCGGCTAACCGGACCTAGATACATTGCTTCTAGTCATTTATTTCCTGCTCTCCTGTGTATATACTGCCGTGGTGAGTATATTGTGTGAGAGTTTGTGATGGTGTTTGTGTGAGAGCAAGTGTAGAACCAGTGGAGTACATCTACTGCCGAACCCGGGCTATCCTGACAGAAGTCCGTTACGTTCCCGTTACATTGGTGTCAGAAGTGGGATGGTTTATTAGTTATTTAGGGTTTACTTGATTGTTTTTTTTTATTATTCAATTTCGAACCTGATATTTAGGCATGAACGTGAGTGAAACACTCGATCGCCTAGTAGACGAGGTGGCTGGGCTTGAACGAGATTACGTACGGGGATTAGAGAGCTTGCACGTAGCTGACAATGTACCAGTGGTAAGAGGTGAAATGCCAGAACGAGTTGTACCAGGGTCGCATCCTCTCTCTTTCCCTAGTACTTTGAGGCCTAGCGTAGGTGAACCTGAGATAGAGCATAGGCCATGTTCTTTTAGTACGCAGTATATGAAACCGAAGCAGGTTAGGACAGTTCCAGAGCCAGTGTACCCGATGGCTAGCGGTGAATTAGGGACACATAGGCATGTACTTTTTCCGTCAGTTTATGCAGGCCTAGGCTCACGGCCTAGCGAACGGGAACATTGTACACATAGTACGAGTAAATTAGGTGAACCAGTAACACGCGGGGCATTGCACCCACCTATCAGTACCGGTCTAGGCGCACAACCTAGTGAATCGCCGACTACAGGTTGGACGGACCTGTCCAGTGTTGCAGAGTCAACCCCAGTAGGCCTAGACCTATTCGGCGGACAGAAACAGTGTTATCAGTCGCGGGGTTCCAGCGATCCAGATGCAAGGAACGGGGAAGTGTTTAGTAAAGTATTCGTACCGGCGAATACACCAGTTAATAGTCCTATCGGACGTACGACGGACGAGAAACCATGGCTGTTAGAGAGACAAAACGCGATTTGCGGGGAGTCAGAATTTGTACGAGAGTTTGGTAATAAAGAGATGTGGCGAAAGCCAGTAGTGCACCCGGACCGTTACGAGGGCAAGGTACCGTGGCGGGAGTACCGGGACCATTTCAATTCATGTATAGTTGCAAACGGCTGGAATGATAAGCAGGCCGTTACGTTTCTTGCTGCTAGTTTGAAGGGGAAAGCCCTGGGTGTCCTGGGTAATTTTCCAGAAGGGCGATATACGTTTTCGGAACTAGTAGCGGCGTTAGAGAAGAGGTTCGGGACTGCCCAGCAGGCAGAAAACTTCCTGATGGAGTTAAGACTGCGTAGACAGAAGGGAGGAGAATCCCTGCAGCAGCTGGCACAAGCTATCCGGGAACTGGCGATACGAGCGTACCCGGATTTACCTGAGGACCAGAGACAGAGACTGGCCAACGGTCATTTTATGAACGCGGTGGAGGATTCGGAAATGAGAGAGGTTATATTTAGATCCTGTCAAAAGACACTGGACGAGGCCGTTACCGCTGCGTTGAACGTGGAATATTTTAAAAAGATTGAACAACAGCGGGGACGAGAGAAACCTGCACACCGTATACGAGCAATACACGAGGACGAGATGTCAGACAGACTCTACAAGCTTGAACACACGTTGGCTAGGCTGGTGAAGAAGTTAAACCCTCCGGGGTATCTGCCAGTGTCAGCCCCTGTACCAGATTCCAGGCAACCAGTTGGCATAGGCCAAGGCGGACGTGTTATTTGCTATCGCTGTCAACAGGCAGGACATATTGCCAGAGATTGTCGGTCCAATAGGCCTGTAAGTCAAAGTACGGAGTCGGGAAACGAGAATCAGCCAATTCCGGGGCCCGGGGAGCGGCTGTAAGGAGAAAAGGGCCACAGCGTCGGAGTAGAAAATGGAAGAGACGGTCACATCATTCCCCTCAATTGGAATGCCTAATAAAGGACAATCCGAACCAAGGTCTGTACGTTAAAGCACGAGTAGAGGGCCTAGATGTGAACCTGCTTGTGGACACTGGGGCCACACATACATTGCTACCAGCGGACCTTTACCACAGGATACCCGAGGTACGACGACCAGATTTACCAACCAGCTGCACCACTATGAGGCAAGCAGATGGAGGTGCCCTGACAGTGCTCGGGTGGACCGTGTTGGCAGTACAAGTAGGCCGTTCAGTCCGGAAATGCAGAGTGTTTGTGGCGGAAATTCGATCCCCTGGAATCCTGGGAATGGAGTTCTTGCTGAGCCTTGGGGCTATAGTGAATCTAAAGTGTTTGGAACTACAAATAGGCCGAGAAAGAATCCGGTGCGTCCGTCATGACGGCAGCCAGTTCTCCCGGGTGCTGATACACGAGACGGTCGAGTTATTACCCGGGCATGAGCATGTAGTGACAGGACGTGTACGATGTACCAAAAGGCCCAAGGGGGAGTGTATGGTGGAGCCGATAGATCGGGACGAGTTGGCTGATAATGGACTTGTGTTTGCCCGAGTGTTGGTTTCAGCCGAGGAAGAGATTATTCCACTACGAGTGTACAATCCGGGGAAAGTGACAAGAACCTTACAAGCTGGTACAAAAGTCGGGGTTCTAACTCCGGTCGAGGCGGTTCCAGAGAGTCAGGCGTGCAGCGGGAGAGTTCCAGGAGCCAGTAAGATTCCAGACCATTTGAGAGAGCTCTACCAGGAAAGCATAAAATCGGTACCTGGATACAGCAAAGAGATAACGAGTCTCTTCCAGGAATATCAGAACGTGTTCTCGAAAGGCAGTGGTGATTTGGGTCGAACGAACCTGGTTAAGCACCATATCGATACGAGGAATGCGGTACCCATACGGGAAGTTCCCAGAAGGCACCCATTGGAACACCAGACCGAAATTATAAAACAAGTACAGGACTTGTTGGACCGGGGTGTGATAGAGGCTACCTCAAGTCCATGGGCGTCAAACATTGTTCTTGTAGCTAAGAAGGACGGGACGAAACGCTGGAGAAGGCGGGGCTTAAACTCAAGCCTGAGAAATGTTCTCTATTTCAACCTGAAGTATTGTATTTGGGACACGTGGTATCCAAGAACGGCATCCATACTGATCCGGATAAGGTTAAGGCAGTGACTGAATGGCCCCAACCAAGAACAGTACTAGATGTGCGGAGTTTCCTGGGTTTAGCGTCTTATTACCGGCGGTTTGTGAAAGGGTTTTCCAGCTTAGCCAGCCCAATGTTTTCTTTTTGAGGGGGATCGACTGGGGTCGATTATTTTTTGGAGGAGAGTTCGCCCCCACCCCTAGATACGCCACTGAATATGTCCAATCATGAAAGTGAATCCGCAACACAGGCAACATGATTGTGAATGTATATGTGAAGTTAATAGTTTGGCGGTTTTAAACGGTATTTAAAATCAAATATTAGAGATATATCAAAGTACAATGTAAATAAGCAGAGTGTAACTACGTAGGCCCACAAGGTTGTAAAACAGGACACGTGTGCGGTGCACCGAGGAGGGGGAGCTTTGACAAAGGCCTATATTCCAAACACAGTTTTGATGACGTGTGACATTTTTTTTATTGTTATTTTATTTTGATTAAAAACCACAACTTGCTTAGCTCAGGTTAAGACCTCATATCTCGTTGACGAGCTGGTTTTGATCACGTGGCTTGAAGTCTTGCGTCTGGCTGACAACGTAGAGTACTATGATCAAACTGTTTTGTTATGTGATGAAAACGAAACTTTGACTAGCTGAGCCGGGAGCTGAACTTTATAATTTTTGAATAAAATTGACCAGTATGTAGAAAATATAATATAGGCCTACTTTTTGTTTATTCTAGTAGACCTAAATAGTAGAACATATAAAGTAAAGTATATTTTAACCAAACATCACATTTTATTTAATTTTAAATGGAATGATGGGATTATGAAGAATTGTGTAGGACTACCCTATGTACTACGTAGTCTACTTTATTACGTCACTAGATAGTGAAATTAATTATAAACAAAAAATATATCAGCCTGCCTTATCATCTTAATATATTTCCTCCATGCTTATATGATGAGTTGATTCATTTGTGATCTCTTCCTATTCAAGCTGACGTGAATTATTTTAGCATTCCAACTTTTAATAGAAAAAAAAAAGTAATAAATACAAACCTTCCGGGATTCCACTACCAATCGCCGCCCAGGCTTTGCCCAGACGGTACCATGTGTCATGTGCTTTTTTGTTGCGCAGCAGTAAAAAGACGGCGGGTCTCAAAGTTTATGCACGGTCAGCGCGATCTTCATTTTCAGATAGATGGTTGTACAAAGGCGAAACAATTTGTATTTAAATCATCTACGGACATCAAATAGCAATGATGGTTTGGTAGCACACTCTGCACGTTTTCCCATAGTGGCTGATGGGACATGTTGTTTACCTCTGGGATTTATTTTAGGACGAGGCCTAATGCAAGGACAATGTCGGTAGGCGCGCTGTCGGTAGGCACTGACAGGCTTAGGTAACTGACAAAGCCGCCGGTAATTATTAGGCTTAGGCCTAGAAAGGGCAGATTAAAGTATTCATATGATTATCGTATATTAAACGCCTAATTAAAGAAACTCTCTTTACATTCATTTTACTAGACAATACGTCTGTTCCGACGAACGTTCAGATCTTGTGTAGGCAGCGATAGGCGACTGATAATGTGTTAAACAGCTGATGCATTACGACGCGTTACAACGCGTAGCGATCGCTACGTAGCGGTTCGTGCTACGCAAATCCTACGCAAATCCTACGCGTTATCTACGCGTAGCTACACGTGCTACGAAGGCATTAATGTTTATCTGTACTCAAAGCTACTAGAAATACAAGATAGAATTCTCGCATTGTAAAAATGAGGCGGAAGTCGTGCCCAACGTAGGCGGCGCCCTTCTTTTAAACCATGAAAGTTTCCTATACTTCGTGCCCAACGTACAGGGCGCCCTTCTGTATGTATATCCAGACGCAAAAGGCGCCCTTCCTTTTCCACTAATGGAGGAAAACTTTTTCACTAGAGTGCGTCCGGCCATGCGATTCTGCGCTGTATTGTTGTTTTATTCTTTACTGATTCATGATTATGCTTTAATTGTTTTGTGTGTTATTTGGATAATAGCAACGATTTCTACCGCCACTAAGGAGTTTTTTTTCTCTTTCGTGGCGTAACCACCACCTTTATTCAAACAATCAGTACAGTACAGTACAATATTTCCTTCTATATCGATTTTTTTTCATTACCTTCATGGCATTACTGTTTATTTATTTTTTTTATACAACCAGTAACGTGTATAATCGAATAAAGGTAATTTGGAACTAAATATAATTTAAATTGTTTAATAGAATAATTTTTTTTTTTTTTTTTTTATATCACATTATACGGTGTATCATTATAATATAACATACTTTATTTAAATAAATAAGGAGTTTATGTATTCACCGATGTCACTGTCTGGTGTCTATTCCAGTTTCTTTTTCAGTTTCTTTTTATATCTAGTATCTTTGTTGAGAATTGATAATAAAATACGCGACGAGTTGGTAACGAAAGTTTGGCACAAGTTTTTTTAGATCCAGCTGTAGGGGTGTCCCATTTTTCGTATTCCCATCATGCATTTCGGTAGAACACTTTTTTTGTGTGGAGAACTCTATCTTGTATTTCTAGTATCTTTGCTTTACTGTATCTCTCTCACTAGTCCAGACATCATCGAGTTACATATCATTGGAGAGAGAATCTTCTTTTTACTCCAACGGTACCAGAATTGCTTCAATACGTTTCAAGAGAGATATCAGCAGTTATCTGTCAGAAGGTGATTTTTTGACCAAATCCCATGAAAATTTTAAATTGCTCTAACTCATCTGAAAATGCTGGCGCGGAGGCAAAAATTTCACTGTGGAGTTTTTTCAGGTAGACCCCCAACAGCCAAAATGTTGGGCGATTTCAAGGGGGTCGGTCAAAAAAGTGTGTTGGATCCAAATGGAATGACTCATTTGTCTCATATGATGTGGTATCTCTTTTCACCCAGACCCTCATTAATTTGGCAATCGAGATTATACAAGAGAGATTATTTGATGACCACTCCTTAAAAGACCGCACTAACATGGAAGTGAATAACATGGAAGTGAAAGATGTTATTGAACTTTTAACTATTGTTTTGAATAACACTTATTTCAGTTTTCAGGACAAAGTGTACTGGCAATGGGTAGTCTAGTCAGCCCAATTTTGGCAAATCTGTTTCTAGAATGGCTGGAACAAAAGGCATTAGAATCTGTGAGTGTTCATTGAAACCGGTCATCTGGAAAAGGTATGTAGACGACGTTCTCACGCTTGTCCCCGAGGGAGCTATGTACGACCGCAACCAACATCTCAACTTCATTGATCTCACACAAAACATAAAATTCACAACAGAATGTATGTCAAACAACTCCATATCATTTCTGGACATAAATATTTCACTACGAAACAACAAGATAAACACTACAGTATACAGGAAATAAACATACAGACCAGTATTTTATTTTTCATTTGTGCCATCCTCTGGATCATAAGCTAAGTGTGGTTAGCACCCTCGTGGACAGGTGCGAGAGGGTGGTCTCTCTCAAGGAGGACCCAGAAACAGAGTTAAAAAGATCAGAACAGCTCTAAACACATGCAACTACCCATACTGGAAAAAGAAGGAAGAAAAACAAGGGGGAATCCAAAAGATACTCAGACCATGGGGAAAACGAGGGAAAGCGTAGGGATCCCGTATATACCTGAACTATCAGAAAGGTTCAGGAGAGTCCTCCGCAGTCACAATGTTAACTCATTTTTCATCCCACAGAACAAACTAAGAAATCAACTGGTACATCTAAAAGATAAAGTTAAAAAAAATTGATTGCTGTGGTATAATCTACCAAGTAGATTGCTGCAATTGCGAAAAGTGTATATTGGAGAGACAGATAGGTCCTTCTCCACCAGAATAAAAGACCACAAATGGACACTCACTGCTACAGCGTCCTTATCAGAACAGCTAGGAACTCTGCATCCCAAGTCACTCACAACTCCGCAAATACCGACCACATTGTTTCTAGAAACCATTTCCCTGATTGGAAAGTCATGATACTGGCAAAAGAACCACACTGGCAGGATAGAAAAATAAGGGAAGCCATCAGGATAAGGCAAAAACAAGAACACCATGAACAGAGATGATGGGTACGAACTCCCGCATTTATATGATGAAATTCTGAAAGGAACGGCCACCCAGCACCTTCGCTTGGGTAAACTAAATATCTCATAAACACAAAATAGTGTTCTCATTTTACGCGTAACGAATAGAAGCGTCGATTTGGCACAGAAAAGTAATGTTTTGGGGGAGGGCGTTGCCATGGATCTGATATAGGGTGATCGCGTTACGCAAAAGTTCGTTACCAAGTTCTTTAATTTGTTCCTTATGTTTTAAAGAGAGGGCGCATTGTAAATTGGACGGTAGCATCCCATATTTATTGCATATAAATTATTTAATGATCACGATTGTATTCTGCAAATACATTTTACCATAGTAAAAATAATAATTGCAATGTGATGATGATGATGATGATTATGATGATAACAATGACGATGATGAAAATAATGATGATGAGGATGATAAGGAGGAGGAGGAAGCATTTTATAATGTCAGCGTATACTACCTCCTAATGTTTGCACTGAACTTCTGGATATTTATATACATGAGTTTTTAAAACATTAGACAGAAGATTTTGTGGCTTTCAACTATTTTAATATTTTTTAATATTAATTTTCATTTTTTGGGTAACATTTTAGTAAAATATATGTTATAAATATATACATTAAATTTCATATACATACATTTAAATAAATAAATAATTTATGTATGTGAATAAATTATTTTTGCAGATAATGCCCGATTTTAAAAGTATTTATCCACATTGATAGTCATAAATACCCATAAAAAAGGCATTATCTCCATTTTGGCCCCATTAATATAAGAAATAATTTTTGAAAAGTATGTGGCATTTTTTTTTAATAATAATCAAAACAAACTATCATTTTGAAATTTGAAATCATTTGTACTTTTTTTGGGAAAAAACCCCAAACGCGTTTTGCTCATTTAC